TATTCTATTCTATTCTATTCTATTCTATTCTATTCTATTCTATTCTAACATCACAGTGGAAAAAGACTTACTTCTTTATGGAGCATTTACCCCTGACTTAGAGATGGCGGCCCACACCAGGTTTTCCTCACAGCTCTCCACCTGAATGATCCATCTGCTTGGACGCCATGAGGGGCCCACACGAGTTACTAAATGGAGTTCGGCATGACTGGCCTTGAATTGAGACATTGGTATAGTAAAAAAAAAAAAAAAATCCCTCCTCTTGTCTTTCTAGTGTTTTTTTTTTTTTTTTTAATGTGAAAGGGCCTCAGATGGCCAGGAAGAACAACGAGGAGGGTGTCTGCTGTGGAAAGGACATTTTTGGCTTGCTGTGTCCATGGGCCGCGTGGTGACATTTGATCCTGTTTGCAGAATGAAAGTTGCTTCTCTAATTAAGCTGCTTTTTTCTCTGTGGACCTAGAAGAGTAGAAATTCCACAGGGTCATGGGAGAGGTATTTTAAACACTGTCATTGCTGCTTCAGAATAAAATTTGTCCTCCCAGCTGTCCGACAGGAACAGCGGGGGCTTGTGTGGAAATCAGGACACTTGGATGGGAAGAGTGTGTTTCCTCTCATCTGACCGCTTCCTTGTCCCTCTGCAAAGGAGAAGGAAAACGCCTCAAGAAATCTTAAAACACACCTGAAGAGAGAGGAAGGGGATGGGATCAGCCCTTGGTGGGCACTAAACTCAAAGACAGATACAGGGAGTCCTCGGCTTACAACCACAATTAAGCGCAACATTTCTGTTGCTAAGCGAGACAGTTGCTAAATAGGTTTTTGCCCCATTTTACGACTTTTCTTGTCACAGTTGATAAGTGAATCACTACACTTGCTCAGTTCGTAGCCCAGTTGTTAAGTGAATCTGGCTTCCCCATTGACTTTCCTTGTCAGAAGGCCACAAAAGGGGATCACATGATCCCGGGGGCCCTGCGATTGTCGTAAATATGAACCAGTTGCCAAGCATGTGAATTTTGATCATGTGACCACAAGGATGTGGCAGTGGTCATGTGAAAAAAGGTCGTAAGTCACTTTTTTCAATGCTACTGAAACTTTGAACAGTCACGAAACAAACTGCTCTTTAAGTCCAAGACTACCCGCACTGTCTTTGACAAAAAACAAGCAAAAATATTGAGTAATGTTCACAAATGAAAGGAATTTAAGGGTCTTTGGTGCTTTCTGAGCTCGATTGGTTTCTTGCAGATATTTCGTTACCCAAACTAGGTAGCCACATCAGTCATCATCATTCTGATGAGGTCACCTAGTTTGGTAATGAAACGTCTACAGGAAAACAACCAAGCTCAGAGACCACTTCATTTCAACCCTGAGCTACAAGTATTCTCCTTTATCAGAAGGGGATTTATTCTTCAAGAAATATTAAATGGAGGCAAGAAGACTCAAAGTGCTACCATCTGGATTCTTCATATTATGAGCATTGGCAAAGGTTTTCAGGGTTCAAATATACCCTAGACCAGGGGTAGGCAACCCTGGCTCTTTTATGACTCGTGGACTTCAACTCCCAGAATTCCTGAGCCAGCCATGCTGAGGAGAAATGGAGAGATTTCCAAGCTGAGCCATGCTGGCTCAGGAATTCTGGGAGTTGAAGTCCACGAGTCATAAAAGAGCCAAGGTTGCCTACCCCTGCCCTAGATAGTCCCAAAGATGCTTTTTCAAGGAGGCAAGTGGACTTTCTTGTTTCTCTTTGAAGACGTTTCGCTTCTCATCCAAGAAGCTTCTTCAGCTCTGACTGGATGATGGGGGAATAGAAGGATTTATACTCCTTGCAGACAGCTGGTCATTTGCATTCTTTGAGGGAGTCGTTGAGCCCACCTGGAGGCTTATCTGTGTCGTCAGGGTCACCTGAGTAGTGCAAATGGGTGTGGAGCCTTCTTGGAACTGTTGAAAGGACTGTGCTGAAAGTCCACATTTTGGACAGAGAGGCCTGTTGGTTTGAAAGAGGGGTCAAAGAGGCCATCTATAACAAAACTGAACAGCCCTCTCTCAACAGAGGGGGAGGGATATGACATCATCTATCTCCAGTCTACAGCCCTTTCAGCAGTTCCAAGAAGGCTCCACAACCATTTGCACCACTCAGGTGACCCTGAGGACACAGATAAACCTCCAGGTGGCCTCAACGACTCTCTAAAAGATGACCAGCTGTCTGCAAGAAATATAAATCCTTCCACTCCCCCCATCCAGTCAGAGCTGAAGAAGCTTCTTGGATGAGAAGTGAAACGTCTTCAAAGAGAAACAAGGAATCCAGTTGCCACTTGAAAAAGCACCTTTGGGACAACCATGACCTCGATGGCTGAGAATCTCCATAGATATACCCTAGGTAGGTGCAGCTATGAATTGCAATGGATGCTTCATTTTTTTTCCCCGGTTGGGAAATGGAAGAGGATTCCCCTGGACTGAATCGTCCATTTCTGAATTATTTCTGGAAAAAAAAAATCTCAATCCAAGGTGAAGCTCCCGCACCTCTTTCTTGAAATGGCAAAAATCAGAGGTCTCCTGTGAAGTGATTTAACTAACTTAATTAATTAGGTCAGCAGTAGAAGCTTGAGCTGAGGCATCAGGAATTTTGAAAATATGTCATGGGCACCCTCATAAAATGACTGCTCTCGCACCAGGGCCAGCCAAAGGCAAATGATAGACGCCACTCCCCAACAACCTTTCAGTTAAAGCAGGGTTCTCAACCTTTTTAATGCCGCGACCCCCAACCGGTCGTAAGTCGAGGACTACTCAACCGGTCATAAGTCAAGGACTACTCAACTGGTGCAGCACCGTTTGCAGAATGGGACTTTTGGCGGGCTCAGCAGGGCAGAGACAGCCTGGACAATTCCTATTGCTTTTGAAAGCCAATAGAATTAGACTCTATTCAAGAGAGTCTATTCTATTGGCTTTCAAAAGCCAATAGAATAAAAGGGAGTAGCACAGCTAAGGAAAAGAGGAAAAAATGGCGGACTGCATTGTTTGGCGACCCCCGTGAAATGGTCGTTCGACCCCAAATGGGGTCCCGACCCACAGGTTGAGAACCACTGAGTTAAGGGAATAAGGCAACCATTAAGTTAGGGGTCCTCATACTTGGCCACTTTAAGACTTGTGGACTTCAACTCCCAGAATTCCCCAGTCAGCATGGCTGGCTGGGGAATTCTGGGAGTTGAAGTCCACAAGTCTTAAAGTGGCCAAGTTTGAGGTCCCCTGCGTTAAGCGAATCTGTCTTTCCCCACCAACTTTGCCGGTTGGAATTTGGCTGGGAAGGTCACCAAAGGTATTCACATAACCCTGGGCTGCTGCCACTGTTGTATGTAAATAAGCAACTGGACCTTGATCACATGATTGTGAGAATGCAGCAGTGGTTGCATCTGCGAGGAGCGATTCTATGTTTTTCAGTGCCATTTTGGTTGCTAAACAAATAGTTGTACCTGTAATAATTGTCACCATTCCCGCTCCTGCCCCCAACCCCCAGTTAACCTAGCTTAATGGAAGTAATGGTTTTAACACTGCAAAGGGTCAGAGCTGAGTTTCAGTAAAATTATATATTGAAAAAACACTGCGGAAGGTATCAAACTGAAGGAATCTGGGATGCATAACGTCAGTGTTCATGTTACTAGTCCATGTAAAAGCAAATTCTCTTTTTGAGTCAAGCTCAACACCTGACTGTCTGTGGAGATGCTCCAGTCCTTCTTTGGTGGTCCCAAAGGTGCTTTTTCAAAAGGCAACTGAACTTATCCGAGAAGCTTTTTTTCCAAGGGTGATTGCAAGGTATAATAAATCCTTCCATTCTCCACCATTTAGTCAGAACTGAAGAAGCTTCTTGGATGATGATGATGATAATAGTAATAATAATAATAGAGTTGGAAGGGACCTTGGAGGTCTTCTAGTCCAACCCCCTGCTCAAGTAGGAGATCCTATACCATTTCAAACAAGTGACTGTCAAGTCGCTTCTTAAAAACTTCCAATGATGGGTCATCCACAACTTCTGGAGGCAAGCCGTTCCACTGATTAATTGTTCTAACAGTCAGGAAATTTCTCCTTAGTTCTAGGTTGCTTCTCTCCTTGATTAGTTTCCATCCATTGCTTCTTCAGGTGCTTTGGAGAATAGCTTGACAACCTCTTCTTTGTGGCCCCCCTGAGATACTGGAACACTGCTATCCTGCCCCTTCTCGTCCTTCTCTTCATTAAATTGGACATACCCAATTCCAGCAACCGTTCCTTATATGTTTTAGCCTCCAGTCCTCTGATCACGAGATAAGTGAAATGCCTTCAAGGAAGAACAAAGTAAGTCCAGCTGCCTTTTGAAAAAGCACCTTTGACAATTTCATGGATGTGACCATGTTGTTGTCTTGGCAACAGTAGGGAAATGTTTGACACAAGATATGCTTTTATCTTCTCAGTTTAGCTTACAACTCTGGGATTTCCAGCAGTGTCCATTAGAGTACTCATCAACTCTGACCCTCTTTAGCTATTTGAGTGTCAGCCATGGGCGATAAATGTTGTATTGTAGGTGGATACCACAAGTATGAACTCCCCTCAAGTCTCTCGGATGTTTAGGCTGAGGAGAAACACATGAATGCCCGCCAAACAGGTCTGAAATGTTGCTTTCTGTTGAACAACTTAAATAGGACACGGAACCTTCTAGATACACAAGGTAAGACCTTAAACAATGGTATCCTCAAAGAAGATGGCATAAGTGTATAAATTGCAGGTACAGGTAGTCCTCGACTTATGACCACAATTGAGCTCAAAATTTAAGCAGGATGTTTGTTAAGTGAGTTTTGCCCCATTTTTAATGACCTTTCTTGCGACCGTTGTTAAGCGAATTACTGCAGCTGCTAAGTTAGTAACACGGTTGTTAAGTGAATCCGGCTTCCCCCATTGACTTTGCTGGTCAGAAGGTCGCAAAAGGGGATCACATGACCCCGGGACGCTGTAGCCATCATAAATATGAGTCAGTGGCCAAGCGTCTAAAATTTGATCATGTGACCGTGGGGATGCTACAATGGTCACTTTTTTTCACTGCCGTTGTAACATCAGTAAATGAACTGTTATAAGTCAAGGTCTACCTGTATTGTCCTTGTAATTTCACATCAGACCATTCCATCCTGGTCAATTTATTACATTTTCCTTTCCTCCTTCCCAGATTCCAACAGTTTAGATCACCAGAGGAATGAGCTGAGCAAATCCACTGATAATCGTCATTTGAGGTATTTTCAAACATGTTCTTAAAAGTGCAGGAAAAAAAAAAGTGACGGGACAGAGAAACACATACGTGCAGAGAACATGACACGAGCCACCGTCTTCGCCTCTTTCCCCTGAACTTACAAGACAAAAAAGTACAGAACTAAAGCAATTAAAAACCAGATAGAAGTGATAAAAAAAGAGAACAGACTCAACGTATGAGGTAATCTTTCACATCTCGGAAAAGTTATTTTACACACAGCAGTTCAGCCATTTAAAGCCAGCAGAAGACAATCTGTGGTCAAAGGATTGGAAAGCAGAAAGAGATGGGATGGCAAATTAAGGCTTCCTTCTGGATCTGAATTCCTTTGGTGCTTTCCTCCTTAGCTTAGCCGAAGGATTCCATGTCTTTCTTTCTTTCTTTTTTAACTCTCTTCCCCAAAGTGGTTCGACTTGTAGCTTAGGCCTCAAATGAGATCCGAGAATGGAGATGAAGGTATATCACAGATCACGGTCTGTCTTTCTGCACCATGACACTGCTTGGAGGCAGTTCCTGAGTAAAGAAGATTGTTTCTTCGTTTGAGAATTAACAAGGAATTGCTACCCAAAGCGAAACTTGAGTCTGTACTTGATGGGTTTCTTCTGAGGAATTTTGGGCTTGGCTGGAAGAGCCACCACCGGTGGTCTTCTCTTCTCAGGGACGGCTACTGTAAAAGAAAGTTCTGGTGGTTCGGTTTGTTTGAACCGGGGAAGGAAATGAGTGGAGACGTGCTGGGGTTTTACTCGTGGGCTGCACCCACGCTTGGCTTTCCCTCGCTTATTCAAAGCCACGTACCACTCTCTTCCGGTTTTGCCCGTCCGGTGAACCGCCGAGGAGTAGGTGTTATAGCTGTTTTCTTGAAACCGCTCCCTGAACTTGCAGTCATCGGTGAATTTGGCCTGAAAAAAAGAAAAAAAAAAGCAGGAATTGACAAAAAGGAAATTAATTTGCATTAAATCTCATTACAGGTCCCTCCACTTCAGGGGTAGGCCACCTTGGCTCTTTTATGACTGGTGGACTTCAACTCCCAGAATTCCTGAGCTAGCCATGCTTGAGGGGAAAGAGAGAGTTTCCAAGCTGAGCCATGCTGGCTCAGGAATTCTGGGAGTTGAAATCCACGAGTCATAAAAGAGCCAAGGTTGCCTACCTCTGGCCTAGGCCTAGGCCGCTTTATGACTCGTGGACTTCAACTCCCAGAATTCCTGAGCCAGCCATGCTGAGGGGAAAGGGAGAGTTTCCAAACTGAGCCATGCTGGTTCAGGAATTCTGGGAGTTGAAGTCCACCAGTCATAAAAGAGCCAAGGTGGCCTACCCCTGCTCTGCTTTCTTTCATCTAATATTAGTGGCACTTCCAGAGCATCCCCTTCCCAACTTTGGAACTCAAATAACCAAATCTGATATCTTCTTTTCTTCTGTTTTGCTTTATGAAACTAAACAACAACAACAACAAAAGGTTCAGGACCTCGTTTTACAACAATTTGTTTAGTGACCGTTCAAAGTTACACTGGCATTGTAAAAAAGTGATTTATGACCATTTTTCACACATACGACCATTGCAGCATCCCTATGGAGATTTTTAAGACTGGACAATCACCTGTCCGGGATGGTGTAGTTTCTCCTGCTTGAGCAAGGGGCTGGACTAGAAGACCTCTTGCGTCCAAATCTTTATTGATAAGTTCCAGTCATTTGTTGGCAAGGCATTTCAAATACGAAATAACAATAATAATCAAATTCCTTTCCAAGAAGATGGCGCTAAGTGTCTAGGAATAACAGAAAGAAGCCGAAAGATGATCTGCTTGCCTGGCAATGATTTCCTCTTGCTGACTTGATCCAGTCTCAATTTCAGAAGACAATTTCACATGATTAGCTCCCAAAGGCCCTAAGTTTGTTTTGGAAAGGAAGCATGTCTCTCGTCTGTCAACAGGCCTCCTTCAATTGGGTGAATGGGAACGGTGATTGAAGTCAAAGGTCTACTCATTACATACAGAAGAGGGGAAAATCGCGGTGAGAGGAACTGTCAACAAAACTGGTCCTTTTCTCCCCGTGTCTCATGGAAGATGGTCTTCTGGCAAACTTTTCTTAGGAACTCTGATTTTTTTTTTGGTGGGGAGACTGTCTAAGCCCTAGAGATCTCGACCATAGCCCACCTAGTCTTCCCAGGAACTTGTATTAACTCAGCTTCCTCCCTCCAGGGTTGTGTTCATTTGCCTCCGAAGTAGTCTTGGGAAGTAGTCGGAGGCAAATGAACACAACCCTGGAGGGCTGAAGCTGTGTGAGGAGTAATAATAATAACAACAATAACAATAATAATAATAATGAAGTTGGAAGGGACCTTGGAGGTCATCTAGTCCAACCCCCTGCTCAGGCAGGAAACCATATACCATTTCAAACAAATGGTTGTCCAGTCTCTTCTTAAAAACTTCCAGTGTTGGAGCGTTCACCACTTCTGGAGGCAGGTTGTTCCACTGATTAATTGCTCTCACTGTCAGGAAGTTCTAGGTTGCTTCTCTCCTTCATTAGTTTCCATCTGTTGCTTCTTGTCCTGCCAGGCACTTTGGAGAAGAGCTTCACTCCCTCTTCTGTGTGGCAGCCCCTGAGATATTGGAACACTGCTATCATGTCCCCCCTCGTCCTTCTCTTCATTAGATTAGACATACCCAATTCCAGCAACCGTTCCTTATATGTTTTAGTCTCCAGTCCCCTAATCATCTTTGCTCTTCTCTATACTCTTTCTAGAGTCTCAACATCTTTTTTACATCGTGGTGATCAAAACTGGATGCCGTATTCGAAGTGTGGCTTTTCCAAGGCATTGTAAGTAATACAAGTTTAATACAAGTTTCCGGGAAGACTAGGTGGGCTATGGTCGAGAAAACAAAGAGTGCAACCGTTGCTTCCTCCATTCAGCTAAGGAATGGACTGAGATGACCTTTCTCTCAGTGGCACTGGAGGAAAATATTGAATTGCAGAGTTGCGAACTCAGCTTGGCATTGGAAGTGCATTGTCAGAAGAGAAAATGAAGAATTCCTTGGAAGCCGAAAAAGACCTAGAAGGAGGTGGAAATCTGATCTTTCCATTCTTGCAGACTCACCAGAAACATAAATACCTAAGGGATCTCTAGCAATAAATCAGAAATAGTTTCTAAGCCTGCATTTAAAATCTTGTCTTATGTTTCACCTTATTAGATGTGCCTTTCCTTTCGTTTTGTGTCATTTCAGCAAATCCTAGCAAGCTGGTGCCCGTGGTGACCATTCTTGGCCCATCTTCAGAAAATTACACACTGGGTTGGATTTGGTTAGCATGGGAGAGAAGACCACCAAGGAATGCTATGATTGTAGAGGAAATCAATGTGGTGGTGTGTGGGAATGACCTTGGCAGAGGAGGAGAAGAAAGGCTGCCTAGGGAATGATCAGATAAGGGCAGGGGGAGCCTGCAGCCACAAAAAGGGCATTGAAAGAAACTAAAAAAGGAAAGTCCCTCATTTAACAGACTATAAAAAGAGATAACGGGAGACGGTATTTTCAGAATAGCAAGAGTTTATTCATGTAGCTTACAATAAAGTAGAATCAGTTCAAATGCTCATGTTTCCTCTCTGGTCTAGTATTAGCATTAGTACCACTTTACAAAGCCCTAGACCACATCTCGCATACTGCAGCCAATTTTGGTCACCATATCACAAAAAAATATGTTGAGAGTTTGGAAAAAATTCAGAGAAGAGCAACTAAGATGATCAAAGGCCTGGAGACCAAGACAAATGAAGAATGGCTGCGGAACCTGGGCTTGGCTAGTCTAAAGAAAAGAAGAAATAGGGGAGACATGATGGCAATATTCCGGTATCTGAGGGGCTGCCACAAGGAAGAGGGGATCACATTGTTCACCAAAGCACCAGAGGGAAGGACGAGAAACAATGGTTGGAAACTGATCAAGGAGAGAAGCAACCTGGAATTAAGGAGAAACTTCCTGACCGTGAGGACAATCAACCAGTGGAACAGCTTATCCCCAGAAATTGTGGGTGCTCCATCCCTGGAGATTTTTAAGAGGATACTGGACATTCACCTATCTGAGATGGTATAAGTCCTCCTGCTTGAGCAGGGGGCTGGACTAGAAGACCTCCAAGGTCCCTTCCAGTTCTATTCTATTCTATTCTATTCTATTCTATTCTATTCTATTCTATTCTATTCTATTCTATTCTATTCTATTCTACTTCAGAAGGTTTATAGTAAGGGAATCAACATTACATCCTGGAAGAAAGCAAAGAGGAATGCACTTTTTCTCCCTGTAGATTTTAGGTCACTTCAATCTGTCAGCTGCCAACAGCATACAACTACATAATATGCAATTTAGGATGAAAACTGTACAGTCAAATGAAAAGCAGAAACTAAAAGTACAGGCAGTCCTCCCACTTATGACCACAATTGAGCCCAACGTTTATGTTGCTGAGCGAGAGGTTGGCTAAGTGAGTTTTGCCCCATTTTACAACCTGTCTTGCCACAGATGTTAAATGAATCGCCACAGTTGTTAATATAGTAACATGGTTGTGGAGTGAGCTTGGTTTCCCCATAAACCAGGGCTAGGCAACCTTGGCTTTTTTATGACTTGTGGACTTCAACTCCCAGAGTTCCTGAGCCAGCATGGCTCAGCTTGGAAACTCTCCCTTTCCCTTCAGCATGGCTGGCTCAGGAATTCTGGGAGTTGAAGTCCACGACTCATAAAGCAGCCTAGGCCTAGGTCAGAGGTAGGCAACCTTGGCTCATTTATGCCTTGTGGATTTCAACTCCCAGAATTCCTGAGCCAGCATGGCTCAGCTTGGAAACCTCTCCCTTTCCCCTCAACGTGGCTGGCTCAGGAATTCTGCCATAAACTTTGCTTGTCAGAAGGTCGCCAAAGGTGATGATCACATGATTCTAAATAAGAGTCCATTGTCAAGCATCCAAATCTTGATCACATGACCACGGGGATGCTGTAAGTGTGAGAAACGGTCATAAGTCACTTTTTTTAGCATTGCTGTAACTTCAAACAGTCACTAAACGAATTGCTGTAAGTCGAGGACTGCCTGTATCATTTCCCCACCTCAAAAAGAGCAGAAACCCCCGCTGTCAATTTTCAGCAGTCATGTTGCTGAAATTCAGCACTGCAATCACAGCAGATCCTGAGATTGTCAAAAATGAAATACAATAGAATAAACTAAAAAGAATGATTCCGAAGCTCAAAATAGTTCACCTCTGTTACACAGGAAGAACACTAAACTAAATATAAGTCTAGACTGCAACAAAATGCCATCTCTTTTATTACTTTATGGGTGAGCAATGCCCAGATGCTGGAGGCCTCTTCTAGACATAACTTCCAGAAAAACACATTGCTGGAATTTCTAATGTTATTCTACTCTGGTGATCCACCCCCTCTGAAATTAATAAAGGCTGAATCCAATCCTGCAAACATTTGCTGTGGAGGTCCGGTTTTCCCTCTAATCTTTGTCTCGCCGTTTGTACTACCACACAAAGATGCAAGAGCAGTGGTGTGAAGTTATCTACAGCTACTGAAGCAAAACCTGTGTTTTCTGCCAAGATCCGTGTCAAACAGAAGAGCAGTTCTTTTGTCTCCCGGGACATTAATTTTGCTCAGCTGCCTTTGCCATCCATGAGGAAAGAATAGCGCAATAGAAAATGCCTCGGTAAATGAAGCGGCATCCACACAGAGAACCGGTTGTTCACATATTTAAATCTCACTAGTGCATCAGCATCTAAACCAAATCCTTCCTTACCAAAGGTTATGCCAGTTACATTTATTATTTCATGGTTAAATCCACCCGATTATATGTCATACATGAGACTATACATAGGAGATCTCCGATCTCACCCAAGTGATACAAGGAGATAATGTTTGTGGTGATGTTTCTATCTCC